AACAGTCGCATACCACTCTATGCCGCTACAGTGATAACAGGCAGTCAGTTGAATGCGGCAGATCGTGGCGGTCGACCGCAGGGTGCTGCGGGAACCTTTAATCAACAACACAGCAAGTTACCCGTATATTTTCAGCAATCGGACAAGGATTACACACAGGCGCTAAACCGAAAGATTTGTTATAAGAAACATGGCGATCAGGAAATCATTGACAATAACTGGTACAAGGCGAAGAACTTGATTGCCCTGTCGTCTGTGAACGTTGATTGTGGTAGTAGAACTGCAAATGAAGTACGAGCCACAATTCACAGGGGGCACCTGATCGCGTCCCAGTACGGCAGAGGAGATCAACGGAAAAAGGAAGCAACTTTTGTTTTTACGAACGCTGTGCCCCAGTTTGGGGTTTTCAATTCTGTTCCGTGGAACCGTTGTGAAAGCAAGCTCATTAAATGGGGCCAAAACAACTGTGCGTTACAAGCGATGCAAAGTGTTCGGATGTTCATTGTTGTTGTTGCGACTCCTTCAACATTTTTCGGCCCCTCAGAAACGAGGTATTTTGGGCAAAGTGGTTTTAGTGACTATCAGGACGACAGCGAATTCCGTGGAAATGTCCCCAAAGAGATGTGGACCGCTGCTTGCTGTACTTTCCAGTACAAAGATGACGGTCGAGCTGGTACAAAGAGTACGGCCTTTTGGCGGGAAAACGTTCCCGGGAAACTCCCATGTGAGGAACTAAAAGTTAACGCGATGGAAGAGAGGCTTAAACGAAAGGGAATAACAGAAATAAATTTGTTCCCTTTTCATGGTCAATGCAGAGATGAGAATAACTACGTCAGTTTATCATAGCACGAAATCCTGGCAGGGCGGAAGCGCCAATTTGATCAATGACGGCGACAACTTGCGTAAGACAAAGCTCCCAGATGCCAAGCAGTGGATCAAATATCTTTTTGATGGTGAACACTCCTCAAACATAGCTCAAATATGTATGTGATTTAACGGTAGACGGGCTTTTCAGTCATTCAAGGACAATCGAAGACGCTAAATGAAAAGTACTAAAGTTAATAATCAAGAGCAATCTGTGTATTAATGTAGATCGTAAAGGATTAAAGGGTACCTTTTATCCAACAGCTCTCGTTTCCCCCTTGAACTTTTCCTGCTATTGGCCATTGCGATAAAACGACGATAAAAATGACAGCTCATAGGGCGCAGTTTTCACATCGATCAACTCCATCGTGGCCGCCATTTTGACAATCCAGGAAAAATTAATATACTGCAGGATGCATTTGCATATCTACCTGGATGTAAGAGAAGGTACCTGCAGAAAATCGGCGACTGACTTTGCTCATGTCGTTTATTTGGAGGAAGGCGAGCTGTTTTCTTTGCTAGCTGGAGTTTCTGTCGTGCTTGGGACTGCTTCACTTGATTCTTTGTGTCGTTGGCTTATAACTGCTCCTTTGAGGAAAAACCTGACTCTCTACAATTCCACCCCCTCCCCTTTCTCATCATGCATTTTTTCCTAGTTTTCTGGGACCCATTCTCTCTGCAAAACAACGCGTCTTCATTTGAATCTGTCGAGGGTCTAGGTTGAACGGTAAACGGGCTGATGTAGATTCTGCTTTGGCAGCAGAGCAAAGTCTATCCGAGTTAATCATAAAGGACAATGAGGATAGAATTACTGCGATTTGCATTCTATGCGTCGGCCAATATATTTTGTGAGCTGCAACATTTGTGCTAAACGAGTCTTTGCCGATCTTACCCGGGCCGTTGCAGTCTCAACATAATTATTGTGAGCTTTGTGCACCTTGGTAACAGTCTTTGGCCCCCACTGAGAAACGAGGTCTTAGGGGTCACTTCTCGCTGGACATAGTGAAATTTGTTGTAAATTTGGAGTGGGCCAAAGCCTTGAAAAATATTTTGTAGTCAGGAAGTGCCGCGTATTTTCTGCCCAAAATATCACGAACATCCTGGAACCTGCCATGGCGCGAAGGATGTTCAACGTGAAACCGTGAGTGAGACATTTTGTTTGAGCAGTTTGGCTATCTTTAAAACGAGGAACGGGGAATCAGGAATCGGG